AGGTAAGGCCTTATCACCTCTGGTGAATCAGCATCTAGTCTCCAGGCACATAGTTTTGCATATTTGGTTGATTTTGATATTTGCATGGCTATACAATTTTCGAGCTGCTGCTTAAAACAATCATGCATTCATCACCAATATCGTCCATGTCGCCATATATTACGGCAAATACGATCACTTATTGAAGTGTTATCTATCCTTGTGTCAATTGGGTATGCATATGTTCGTATCATAATAAACAGCACATGAGGGGTCGAATACTCAAACACCGGAGAAGCAAGGAGGAGGTAAATCGTTGAGTAACACTACAACATGACGATTTGGGGACACCAGAAATGGGCTTAACACATTGTACCCATGAGGGGAATCGGTGGTCTCTTCGGCGTGACTAGCGGTTTTAACCACTACTACCTCCCACCGCCCACACGCTGGAGAAAGCACATGATTTCAGATGTATAGAACGTTACCGTAAATCACCCATTTGCATCTGGAGGAACCAGGGCATAGGTCTAAAAGAAACAATGCAGTTGAGACTGGAGGTGTGGGAGACTGACCATCCCTGTGGATGCCCCTATAGGTTGACTACCAGACTGCCAGAGAGTTGGTTAACACTGCAAAATACACATGAGCATTGATTACCATTGCAGAAAACCTGGAGATTTTACAGTCGCTGTAGATGCCCCTATAGGTTGACTACTGTACGCCAGAGTTGGTTAACATGTAAAATACACTACGAGTATTGATTTCATCATTGCAGAAAACCTGGAGATTTTACGGTCGCAGATGCCCACGCTACCTCGATGGCCGAGTGGGTTAGATGGTGAGGGCCATTAGGCGCCTGACTCTGAAACTGTGGGTTCGAATCCCGGATGGGGATAACCCAATATAAGTAATTGAATCTGTAATGGTGGAGTGTAATGCCGCATAGTCAGATGTTACCCCATAGTTGAGTGAACAGAGAGGCAATTGCCTAAGGTGAGACTACATGTACGTGCTTCTGTTGTAGAGGCAAGTTGAACTGAAGTCCCAGTAGTAAATCCTCGCAGGAGTGAAGTTGGTCACACACGGTCACGGGATTTTCCGGTAACCGACGTCGCTTACCTTCAACTGATTTGTGACCTTGCCCTGCTCAAGACCACCCACCACCACAAGACCCAGTGACAAGTAACAACAAAACATACAATCTCCCAAACACTAAGATATTAATAACGTGAGCAATTCAAAAAAGAAAGAAATAGAGCTTATTGTCATATAAAAGGCAACATAAGGCAACATATTTTGAATATTACAATCGATAGTGGTGACACTAAGTAAGGCGAGATCATATTGATACAATAATTGCAAGTACAAACGCACAAGGAGAGTTATGGCATAACTGCAATAATAAATATCCCAAAAGTTCAGAAAAGGCACACAGAATTGTAGGTTCCCACTGCGGTTCACGGTACTGATTACAGTTCAGGACTCTGCGGTAAGCAGAACAGTTACAATACAAAGTTGTGTACATGAGATACAACAGTGTAATTGGCATCACATCACTTTATGAATAATGAGTCTCTTCACACTAACCCAGTGCTTTTCATCAGGTAGAGCAAGACACTTCCTGGGTTACCAAGACACTAGATGAACAAAAAACAGAATGAAATCACTAACGCTTCTATTTTCTTCGTTTGAAATAACATGTACAAATAAAACCTTTTAAAGTTTCGGTGAAAGCTAACACGAATGTATATATATCCCCTAGCTACGTTGTTACAGAGAACTTTACACTAGTAGCCTGAAATAGCCACTGGCCCGCTAGCCCGTGACTGGTAATCCAGTCGGGCCAGTAATCAATTTCCAGTCACAATTCCAACTGGCTAGTAAATTTCATGGGTCATTTTGTAACTCCTACCGACTTTGTTAAGTTGGCAATACCTTTAGATCAAAGGCGCAAGAGCCATGTCTGATAAAGACCATATTAGTAGCTGAAACCCGTGTCTACGTTCACTGACTATAATTCATTTTGTTAACTTCAGGGCATAGCTAGCCCACTGGCTAAAAAAATTTGGTTCACTACATCAGGTAATACTCATAGGAGATGCCCATTGCATGTCCATTGAGTACTGTGGTCGCAAGAAATAATTCAGTGACAGCAGAACGGAATGATACGCATCTCTTCCTGTCCGTGAATCCTGTCAAGGCGTCAGCATTATTCTCAACCTTTGCATGTTTTAACCTGATTTTATTAAACGTCACCGTCTGAATGTAGACGGGGTTTACAGTAAAATCTTACCGGGTATAGGACCCGCAAGCAGGTCACGGCACTTCATGAGACCTTTCGTTGTTTAGTGCTTCCGGTAACAAATACCTTCGGAATGGTCTCATGGTTGTCATTTAACAGCAAGGAACCGATCATCCATGCAGGAATAACAAATTTAATTCAATTTCCTCAAATTACTAACTATTACAACTGTCAATGACAGCCGTACGTAACTTGGTCCGCTCTAGTAAAGTCATATTTGGCGGTCGCGCAATTTGGAGCCAGAACTGGTTCTTGAATGTACACATTGTCACCGAAAAATCCGGTACCGGAAGTACCGGAAATCTCGCGAGATTTACGGGCCCCGTTTGAACTGACAAGATGCTGCAGTCTGATGTGGAACTGAAAGTTTACCGCCCAAAATCTATATCAATAATGGTTTGATCGTGTGTGTTAGGCACCACACCTGTGCTCGTGGTATTCGCCACCAGCGTAATAACGTCTGAGACCTGCACCAATTTGCCTGGATATTTAGCTGACACGCCGTGATATAACTGGAAATAGGGCCTGTGACGGTCCAGTTCCTACCTGTATCCTAATTCCCTGCTACCCTACTCCTACTCTAAGCACTCCGTTATGTTAATTCCTGACACATCAAATTTGCAAGAAATGGCAATATATTCTTCAACTCGGAGGCTAAAATTTCGGAGTTTTTCAATACTCATGTATTATATTCCAAAGAAGTATCTGTAATTTATGTCTAAATCTTCAAAGACAATACAACCTTTAATCAAGAAAGAATAACATATTACATTGTTTTATCTATTAGTCGCTATAATAATAATGGAAAGTCTTGGGTATTGACAGGTACCTGGGTCCAGTCCACAATACTCACCGACCCGGTCTCTGGTTACCCGTCCCAGCCCTAACTGGAATACTGTCTTCAAGACATCCATGTATCTTCACTCGCCGGGGTCACCTTCACAGGGTGGTAAACCCAGAGAGAAGTCATGCCAGCGGGAGTTTTAATTATCATTCTAAATCTTATTCCCATAACATCACACACCGCTTGAACTTCTAAGTGGTTCATGGCAAACTAAATATTTATAACCGCCTCATGAAGTTTCACAATGGCACAGATCAGGCCCCTATTCGAAACGTTCGTATTCTAAGAATTTTAACTTTGATCGTGTTTCAATGGGTTGAATGATGCCTTCATGTCTGTATTGTACAACTGAATAGCCAGCCAGGTAGTTAAATTTGTTTGATCCTACTGGCCTGTAGTAATGTAAGCTACGGAATTAACTCGAAGCGCCAGCTAAACAATGGGCAAGCCTGACAATTTTATTTTATTTTGAATAAAGTCATTGCGAAAAACGATATTCCCAAGGAGCAGGATTACATCTCAAAGCTTCCATAAGTCTCTGCAAATGTGTCATAATATTGCGAAAATGGCCGTATCGATTAAGCCTTAATTACAACAGGAGGCGGTTTGACGGCGCTGTGTTGTTGTTTCTACTAGTTGTGCCTATTCCTAGTTGAGCCTATTCCTAGTTGGAGCCTATTCCTAGTTGAGCTAAATATAAAGATAATCATCCAAAATGCTTTCCCCGACTTAAAAGGCATGCGTGATTGGTGTAAGTTATATATGAAAGTAACAGAACCTTGTTGGGTTCGTTCTACTGTATGTTTATAGGCGCCATGTATGAGTAACGGTGTCAAGTTGGCCTTGCTGGTTCTAGCGAAAAGATTGGTGTGCTTTGCCACGTAAAGTCGAGACATTACATTTTATTGTGACACCTAACATTGATCCCTCGTCCGGCACTGGGTGGCATTCATAAGTAACACAACATTTAGGAGGCTTCCAGCCGTAAATATGAGTTGATACCGCTCTAAATTAATAACATGATAAATGAAGTAAAGGTTAGTAGCCTGCGCTATAACATCGCCAACTCTACATCCTAAAACATGCTTTTAAATTATTACTTCAGTTCATGGATCAGTGCATTTTGTTCTAGTAACGTTCCGTGGGTAAAGCAACGCAAGCTGCCTTAATCAGACACAAGACAGTTAACAATCACATCATCCCACCTGGTACCAAAAGTAACCAGCCTGGAGAGACCAAAAAATATTAAAACCATTTTCCAAATGCGATACCGTAATAACATGCATCAGTGAGAAATCTCCGGTCGTAAACTTCGATGGAAATGTATTGTATTCCCCATTTATTATGATTATTTCAAGGGTTAGGGTTTAGTTGAGGTTTAGATTCAGCATTATGCGTTAGGTTTGGGGTTTGGGTTAGGATAGTTTCGAAAGAAACGCATCTATTCTTACTTTATAACCGCGGCTAGAAGGATAAAAAAAACGGGGTTACGGGCGGGAAATCTTTCCCATGTATTTCAGGGTGCGGGTAGAGCCCAACCCTAGCAGCTCTAAAACGATCAAACTTTGCTTAACACGGTCACCCATCCACCAACTCTACGCAAACCAACGTTTTGGCCTTTTATGTGAGGTCTGTTCACTGGGTACATGGGACCCCGTATCACCAACAACACCACAAAGAGAAGGCAAAGTATAACACTACTACAAGATATCGAAGTCTCTATATGTGTACAATTGGTACGATAAAGTGTTTATAACAGTTCAAACATCAAACCAATCGTGTCGCGATCCATTATGTTTCGTGCGGAAGTTTAGAAGCTGTGGTGCCACCGAATTTGAGGTTGATTTGGTTTGATGTCTTATTCTTTCTGTCTCTCTACAATGCTCCGGGTACAGGTAGACAGTCTGGGGCACTTACACCTGTACCGTACCAGAGCGTTGCATCAACTGAAAGAAATAAGATGAAATCCAGAACTCAACTTTTGCCTTAACATACTGTGCTTATATAGTTCTGAACGCGAGTCTACGCGATACAAACAACACATATATATCCCCCTCAATCACAAACAGACAAAAATATCGGTCAGTAGAGAGAGCGATGGGCTAGGATAAGACATCACGATGCTGGCTATCACGGTGGACGTCACACTCTGACACCCGAAGCCAGAGAGAAACATCTTCATCAACTGAAAATGCAACGGAAAATGCAAACATGTACAATCACAGGGCATTTTATCATTTCGTTTATTGAATAGTATAGCATTCAACGCCTTCATGCCTAGTGGTGTAATAATACAGCAAGTTGTGTAAAACGATACGAGGTTCACTATGCAAGTAGGGTTTTTTTATTCCGGGCTATTGTATCGGCGGAACTGGATTCACCTGCAGGAATTGGAGTTTCATGTTTGATTGGAAGCGAGCCATCAGTCTTTGGCCCGTTAACGATTGAAGACCAAGCACAGTAATAAACTGATGCAGGCCACAGGGTAAGCCTTCAAACTCAAACTCTCTCGAACATCAAATTCTTCATTTGGACATTGTAAACGTAGAACATATTTATTGGGATTCAAAGACGCAGTAAAAGGTTCACATCACTACAGTACTTCCGAGCGGTAAACTCCTTATAAAGCTCAAGCCTGATGCAAATTGAATACCCAGATCCTGGAAGAACGTCATGTTGCAATGCTATGAAGCAACGCCCACTCGGTACTAAAGAACGCGGAAATGGCTTGAAATTCTGGCTTTCGAATTACCATCCATCTTGATGACAGGATGGTATCTGGCGGTTCCGCCAACATCCCCTTTACATTATAATGTTTCCTTGGTACTCAAAGCCGACACGGGAGGAAGGGTCAGAAAGAGTACCTACCTACGTCGCTACATGTGCGATCGCGCTGTATTCCCAGCACAGCCCTGTCTCCCCTGGCAGGCAGCGCACCATCCTGATAGCTGCTACATGATGCGAGATTTACACCGCTGTCCACTTACATTCAGCCCGTGCACCCCTGGGTGCGATAGAGTGAGAAACAAGATATGGCCATGTTGTATCAGTCCAGAGCCCTGCTTCAAGAAACTTCCGTAAGCCTGTTCTTTCGAATGTAACGGTGCCGCAGTATAGAGAAATCGAATGCCACGCAGGAGGTTTCGGGGTAAAATGGGGCCCCACAGTAACATGATGACTTGAATTTCTGCTACGGTCATGTTTGAAAAATATATTTCAGTACCATAAAGTACATTACGTCAACATCTCTGCAAAGTTTATGGCGGGTGTAATGGTACCTGACAGATTTGAGGTTCTAAGCTGGATGTCTAGCGCGCCGAAAGGCGTTTGCCTGTCACACCGAATTCTGATGGCGTACAATGCGTAAAGTACAGTTCTTTATTTCCCGGAAAACATCTGGTTCAATTAATCTTCAAAGCTTTCAAAATCGGTTTCAGCGCGTAATTCCGGTACGGGTGTAATGTAAGCTTAGCTTATAAAGCATGTGAAAGTTGTTACATGGTGCTCTCTTAACAGAGTAAGGTGCAGAGGTGTCAAAGCAAGGAGAAAGTTGTTACATGGTGCTCCTCAACAGAGTAAGCATGCAGAAGGTGTCAAAGCATGAGAGAAAGTTGTTACATGGTGCTCTCAACAGAGTAAGTGCAAGGTGTCAAAGCAAGGAGAAAGTTGTTACACAGCTCAATAGCAGGAGCGCCTGCAACAAGGAGAAAACATGGTGCAGAGGTAAGGTGCAAAGGTGTCAGCAAGGAGAAAGTTGTTACATGGTGCTCTCAACAGAGTAAGGTGCAGAGGTGTCAAAGCAAGGAGAAAGTTGTTACATGGTGCCTCAACAGAGTAAGGTGCAGAGGTGTCAAAGCAAGGAGAAAGTTGTTACATGGTGCTCTCAACAGAGTAAGGTGCAAAGGTGTCAAAGCAAGGAGAAAGTTGTTATGATGGTGCTCCTCAACAGAGTAAGGTGCAAAGGTGTCAAAGCAAGGAGAAAGCTTGTTACATGGTGCTCCCCAACAGAGTAAGGTGCAGAGGTGTCCAAAGCAAAGGAGAAAGTTGTTACATAGTGCTCCTCAACAGAGTAAGGTGCAGAGGTGTCAAAGCAACGGAGAAAGTTGTTACATGGTGCTCTCAACAGAGTAAGGTGCAGAGGTGTGTCAGCCAAGGAGAAAAGTTGTTACACATGGTGCTCCCAACAGAGTAAGGTACAGGGCGTCAAAGCAAGGAGAAAGTTGTTTATGGTGCCTCAACAGAGTAAGGTGCAGAGGTGTTCAAAGCAAGGAGAAAGTTGTTACACGGTGCTCTCAACAGAGTAAGGTGCAGAGGAGAAGCCGTCAAAAGCAAGGAGAAAGTTGTTACATGGTGCTCTCAACAGAGTAAGGTGCAGAGGTGCAAAGCAAAGGGAGAGAAAGTTGTTACAACAGGTGCAAGGAGAAAGCATGGAGAAAGTTGTTACATGGTGCTCTCAACAGAGTAAGGTGCAGAGGTGTCAAAGCATGGAAACGTCGGAAATGGAATGCGTCGATATTTCACGGATAATGAAAAATGACAGATACAGGCAGACATCCACATGATAGTATACTTGTAACTCTTTAACACCACCTCATGTGTATGTAAACTTGCACCTTGATAACAGTCATGACCTACCCATGAACCCTGGGGGGCAATCTTTCTGTAGCACTCTCGGCTCCCCCTTTGTCACAGATCTCTCGTTGTCGAGACAGCTAAAACCAAAATCGCTGCAAACTGTTACAAAATGAATGTATCAATGTACCTTCATCATCAACACGTATTGACATTTTCGAACCTATCGTGTACAGCCTAGTGCTAGTTTCATTTCCAGTCATTCCATGTTTCTCTACATGTCATTTGCCATATAATTAATGCGATGGATTTGAAGCAAGACTGGCAAAAGCAGAGAAATATTAAACTCTTCGCCTGCCGTCTCCCAATGCCATAAATTCCGGAGGCTAATACAAAGTCATCTGAACAATGCATATTCCTAAAAAAAAAAAAAAAAGGAATATTTTATTTTAATATATTAAATTCGGTTCCCTGACAACGTTTCCCATCATCTTCACCGTTTTCAAGAGTTATTTCCATTGCGCATGAGAGAGCACGCGCATCTAACTCGTACAGTTCACTCGTATTTGACCATCCTAATGGTGCCAATTACATAACACACGAAGCGACATACTTGGAAACCATTAAATCTGTCAAACTC